GAGGAAGGTGTACAAGCAGGATCCAACAGGAACGACCCTGCCAATTCTGTCCTGCCAGTAGGTTCCAGTGTGGAAGCTTGCTTACTCTAAGGGAAAGCAGTGTTAGAGCTTCAGGTCTTATCTCCTCAAATGAGATCTTTTCTTGACTGAGCGACAGTATAGATGAGGAGGGACTCCAAGCTCATTCCTGCATTTGGCCATAGCAGAAGCACACTGAAGTGCATATAATTTTTCCTTTAATTCAGACAGAAGGTATGGTTCTCATTACAGATTTATCTGAAAGATTTCCAGACGAGGGAAAAATCCTCAGGGAAGGATTTCAATCATGATGAACAGAGGCTGAAACAATGTGAAGTGGGCAATGGCTGTGGAACCAATCAGGACACCATACCAAACAATAGTGAAACGAGACAAATGAACCTTCCTCTTTACAAGCCTGAAATCTCCCCACAATCTCTGTACCTTCTTGGCTGGGCACAGCTAGCAGGCGTGGATATCCTGACAGAAGGAGAGTCAGCAACACGGAGACAAACCAAGCTCCTCATCAGCATATAGCGCAGGGTCAGAATGAATAAATCCTCAGTTGGATTGAGATAGTTTACACAAGCTCCCAGGGGCTTTTTTGACAAGCTAGAGCACAGAAGAGGTAACTTCACATGGAAAGAAAAGGGCTATTTCGGCAGGTGGCCTGGAGCACACGGCTGTCACTGCCAAGCTGTTCCACCTGCCCAGGCAGCCTGCCATCATGTTAGGAGCATCTCCAGAAGGACGAATGAGGGAAGAAGGGGGTGGCATCCATTCCTCTACTTTCCCACCCCAAACTTGTTCTCTCTCCTGAGCTGGTCACCCACACCTTTGTGGCTGTAGCATACTCCCAGCTTTGGTGAGACCAGATGCAAAGAGAAGATCTCCATCTAAGCACACTATCAAGATAACACCTTAAACCCTTGCTGCTGCTGACAGTTCCTTTAACACTGCTCCACTTGCAGACATCTTTCTTCAGAAGGTGATTCAGCTTTTCCTTTCTTGGGCATTCTTATCATGTCGTGTGCCTGCTGGGCTGTCTTCAGCTCTTGTGAACGCATCCAGGTTTTTTTTGTTTTTTGTTTTTTTTTTTTTTTTTTTTTTCCTGACAGCAGCGAGGGGGCTGCTGAATGCAAAACAGTCTCCTCTGAGAATTCCCTCACTAGCGCCTTCTGATGATGGGCCAGAGATGTGTTACTTGTATGACTTGATGAACTTGTTAACCGAGATGTCTTCTTAAGCAAAGCCTCAGAAGCAATAAACACTCAGAACAACATAAGCCAGAAACAGACTCATGAATCTGAGAGCTGCATCCAAAGACTAATTTCAAGATGGTCTTTCATTAAGGAAGCCCCTTAGAAAATGCAACTACTTCTGAAGTATATGTAAAGAGGCCACAGAAAATGTAACTCAGCCAGAACCAGTGGTGTCATAGCCCCTCTAAATTGCCAGACAAATCTTCTCTCTTGTATTGGATGGACATTTCCTGAAATGTCCATGTAATTTTTTTCCTGACTCTAAGTTCAGTCCTTCCAACTGTATCCTGGAAGGAGGCACAGAGAAACAGATCGTTCCCTTGATCTTGTCTTGGTTCTGCATAGCTGATGTTTATTGCTTCTTCAACTTTGCCTCACTAGTTTTACCAAAAGTGTAGCCTCCTGATGTAGTGTGCTATTATAAGTCTTACTTTTCTGCAAGTCAGATATAGAATCATCCAAGCAACGGTTCTGTGGTTTGCCAAGTAACCTAAATCATCTCTTCTTCCCAAACTGTATCTTACCAGCCATCTAACCCCCTTTTGTTTTAACAGGGTTCCTGTGTTCAGGCCTGGCCGTGCCAAGACTGATGGTTAGGAAGGTGGCAGCGTTCTGGTTGCTCCACTGAGACTGTCAGTATTTCAAATTCAATTGGACTTTGGTTAGGTAGGTAATTCATCATTTGCAGTGTGACAACAATACCTGTAATTACTGCTTATTGTTGCGGCTGAAACTCATGTGCAATAAAGGGATCTTAATACCATGCCAAACCTCACAGTTAATTTAGGTTCCATCTCCTTTCATTTATTCTGTAATAAGCTAATTAGTTCACATAATTTGCCATTGAACGTGCCTTTGTAACAAATATATACATGAATTAGCCTATTACACAACAAATGAGGGGAATCAAAACATGAATCATTTGCAGGATTGCATAAGGAACTATTATCCTTTCGAACACCCATAGATGCAGCCACCATCTTTATCACTGCAAATTTTTTTTATTTGCACTACGTTGGTTCTCCTGTCTGATGCCTCTGACTTACTCTTCTACTTGGAAGGTCAATGTGGCCCCGCTGACATGTGCCAGGTTACTTGCAAGTTCAGGATCACTACCATGAAGTTAAACATCTTTCAGCTTGGCTGCTTAAATTCTGGCAGCTGAAAGAGCTTGGCCATACTGCTAGCCTTCTGCCCTGGCACACCATTCGCAAGGATGTTTTGGAGATCCTTCAGATTTCTCTGTGAAAGTCTGCTTTTGGTTTTGTTTGTTCACAGCCTGCACAGCATCAGACTGTGCCCTTGGAAACTCTCGGGCATGACTTGCAGTCACTGCACTTGGAAGCTTCCTTAATCTCACCTGCGGGGCTCATTTCACCAACCTCCCTTCTGACAGCTCTTCAACCATGCTAGATTTCCAACTGATTTGGGATAAATCATGAGAGATGCTTTATCCGGATTTGTCCTAAAATTACCATTATGCAGACTAGAGGCTTGCCAGACCTTGAGGTTCAGTCCACCATTACAACTCTTGCAAAGCACCACACATTAATTATTCCCCAGAAGGGATAAGGACAATTGGACCAGTCTCATCCAGAACACAACAGAGCGTGCTCTGCCCAGTAACTTAATACCAATTCACAGGAAAGCTCCTGAGCTACTAAAACCATCAGTTCTACTTTCTGCACTACTTACTTTGAGGCCTCATCTAACTGCTGACCTGGTGCTACCCAGCTTCAACTATTAAGTGTAATGAGAACACAACTCAATAGCTTTATTTGTTAAATGTCCCCTGCTTACAGCAATTGTTTTGATTTAGCACCCAACCTCTTGCAGTAATGATTTATTCTTCCCATATCAAAGTTAAGCAAGTACCTTACTCCAAACAGCTGCTTCTTTATCTGGAGTTATATTGTTTTTATATTCTAAAAGTGAGTCCTTACTTCTAAAAGGAATAAAGATGTAAGAAGAGTTTTGGGCTGGAAATACTCTTTAACATTTGGATGGCCTAAGCAGCACTAAAACCAATCATAAACCTCCTGGCAGGTGCCAAAATGATCTATAGATACAATATCCAACTTTGCCAGACACGCTGCTCTGCCAAAAGGAATCAGTCGAAACCTCTGCTGTGGCTAGTGTGTTCTTCCTGGCTTAAAAGTGTACATTTTCAGGCTGAGGAAATAAAATACCAACATGAACTGACAACTTGCAGCCTGCAAAAAGGCTCTGGAAGTAAAAAGGAAGCAGGACCCCTCGAGAAGCACCTGCTCATTTTCAATGCACTAGCACAGGCACTCTGCAACTCATTGCCCTCTGCCCTTTCCCTGGCAAGAACATTGCTGCCCCGTGGTGGGAGCCAGACGAGACCTCCTGGGCACATCCATCAAGCTCTGTCAAAGAACTATGCAAGAGCAGAAAAAGGAGAATGCAAGTGCAGCCAGAGACCTATCTACTATTCTGGCTTTGATTTCCCTCTTTCCTTCATGCAACACTCGCTACCAGTCAGGAATATTCAAAATTACTATGGCAGCTCCTCTCTTGACATATTAATTCCAGAAAAGAACCAAAGCATTTTAAAAAATATAGCCTTGTAGAGACTTGGGATCTGTTTGAACCCTTCTCAATTTAGTTTTAAGCCTCTGACACCAGCAGCAGTGAGATTCAAGGTGTGCTACTGTGACAGCATGAGAGCAGACAAGACGCCCAGGGCAAGCAATTGCCCCTTTACAACTCCCCGATAAAACCTGAAAGTTATTAAGTTCATATTATAACATGAAACTAGAAGAAAATTCATAACTGAAATTTAGAGCTCTAAGTGAGTAATTATTCATCATTAACAAAACTAAAAGAATTTTTTTTTTCTCTTTTAGGAATAGATGTCACCTACAGTTCAGGAAAGCTAAATAAAACAGGGCATCTAGCCAAAAGCATAAAGAAATTAGTATTAAAACCAGAAAGTGCAAATTAAACCCAGAAAACAGTACATGGATCATTTAAAATGGGCTAGCCCTAAGAGACCATAGCCTCTGGAATGTGTAGATGAGCTATCCAATGTTCCAGAGCTACAAAAGCTTTGAAAATGCTTCAGCTGCTGGAGTGTTTGTCACCTGTAAAGGCTCCCCCAGTCTGATCTAGAAGCACTTTGGTCTCTAGTGAAGAGCTGTATAGGTGTGGATCAAGAGAGAATCAAATTCCACATGAGTAGTACCCTCTTCACAGGCATTCTAGCCAGAACGGATTTCTTCCTCCCTCTAGGATACCATGTTAACAAGCATAACCCTGTAATTTTAGAATCAAACCCATACCATGCCATCATACTAGTTCCTACATTTTAGAATGATATTAAGTCTTGATTAAGGACTTTGACAACACCCTGAGTTTCCTGATTCTACAGCAATAAGGACAGACCTTAACTCTCAAAAATCCCTGGGATTTATCCAGGTCTCATTTGCAGTGCTAGAACTTGCTATACTTTAGTCTGCCTCAAGTAATATTTTTCTCCTCTTCTAAAATGCACCTAAACAATGGTTATTCTCTCCAAATGCTCTCCTGCAACACTTGTGTGGGTTATTGTCTGATTCATTTACTCAGTGTGTCTTTATTTGCAGTTTCACACAGGTGCAAGCAAATTCTTTTCTCCTCTGATGCATCTATCAAAATCTTTCCAAGCGAAAGATGACAAACCAAAAAGAAACAGAAAAATCTTTAGGAGACTCCTACCTGAAAAATAGCTATCCAGGCATATCCAATATTATCAAAATTGATAGCTCCGTTGTGTGGGTTTACGTCCCCTGCCATGCATACGTTGTAATACTGGTTCCAGTTTATGCAGGCATTCCTGCTGCTGAAGTCAGGGTTGTATAAACTCGGGGTGTAGGAGTCCATGCTCAAGGTGCACTCCACCTTGTACTCCTTCCTGTTTGGGATGTTGGAGCATTTCTGCATGCCGTTTTCACGATGCGATGAGCAGATGAACGGGTTCTCCTCCGCTTCGTCGGTCCGGTAGTACGGATGCAGGAAGGTAAGGTTGTATGTCCTGGAGGGGGAAGAAAGAGAAGGATGAGAACAGATGATGCATCCCTTGTTTCAGCAGCAGCAGAAGGCACTGGTTTCTGTCTCTGGTTTGGGCATGTTATTCTCCTTTGTGCTTCACCCCATCAGACTGGGGATGGCAAGCCACAGTTGTTATCAGCCCCTACCTTTGCCTACAAAGCTTTTTGCACCCTGTAAGGCATCGGTGATCTTCCATTTAAAGATCAGCCTGAGTTTTCCCAAGCAGAGAGGGCAGCTGTAAGTTGAAACGAGTATGTACAGATATAAAAATCCCAGCAGGCCAGGTGCTTCCCAAAAATCTAGGGGCCTTTTTATTTCTGTCTAGGAATTTTAAGATAGCTCTTGTGATGAACATGCTTGAGAAAAGCTGATGGTAAAGAAGCTTTCCAATAAATTTGCCCCATAGCACGTCTCTGTGATGAGCGAGCTGAATTTTAACAAAGAGAGACCAAGCCACAGACCATCTCAAATTCCTTCTGTACTTACGTAAGAAAAGAAAGACCCCGCATTAATGGGAATTGTATACTTACTGCATATCTGATTTAATTGGCCTGGATAAAGTTTATGGCTCTGTTACAGCTAAGATAAGCAAGTGCTCTAATTGCAGCATGACAGGGACATGCCTTTCCCAAGCCATGCTCTGGGGCAGATCAGAGAGCAAGCAGAGCCTGGGACTTTCCATGCTGTTTGACTGGCATTAGTGGGACCCACTGGCACTCATACTGCTGAAGCACTGCTCAAAATGAGAAGATGCAAAGTCCTAGAGCTGACTTTATCTGCTGTGTTCAGAGCTGCAGGGATCTAAGATGCTATATAATCAGTCAGGAGATAAGGGAAAAGACAAAACACAAATTATACAACCAAGCAAGATGTGGGAAGATGATAAGCAGGTAATTCTTCAAGACAAGACAGCTGTATTTTTATCTGTTTCTGAACGTACCTAGCTATTGAATAAATTTGGCTCTAATGAATGCCAAACTAGTGTTATTCCATACAAGTGCTTGAAATTGCTCCCCCAAACCCTTGAGTCGAGTCACTCAGCAACTGCACTTTAAGGAGAGAGCAATTGCTGCAGGGCAGAGCTGAGGAGAAATTAACCCTGAACAACTTTCCTGAGGAATTTGGTTCTCCTCCATCAATGAATTACTTGAGATGGGTGTTGAGGGTTCATGCAGCTTCAGCAAGAGGCAAGAGTAGCACATCAGAGGAACCGGGCATTGTTCACCAGTAATTAACCACATTCACCAGCTCTTCCCCTCCCATTGCACAGTGTTCCCATACCTCTAGACAAAACAGTAATATCTTCTTTGCAGTTTCTATGCCTTAGATTCAAGAGACAAGAAACACTTGAAAAATGTTTTTCCTCCAAGACTGCTTAAAAGCCTTCTCCTTCCCCTCCCACGAATTGGTCTCGCTTGGAGGAAATTTCCATATAAAGCAAGCTGAAGAAAAGACTGAGTGCTATGCTAGCACGGTGTTTGCTAGAAGATCAGATACTACAACTGGCACGGTTTGTCACACAGAGGGGGGTATTGCGGAGGCTCGCAAAGGATTAAAACACACCGAGCTGCAGAGATGTTTCTGGGAGTGCTACAGACTTCAGCGAAGACGTCTGGGGAACTTAAGAGAAGAAATTGAGGGAAGAGGAGAATAGATGCCTGAGAAGTGACTTCTAACTCACAAGCGGCAGGCAGACCCCCATCAGCTCCGTTTTGACCTTAGTGGGCTCAGTTCAGATGCAAAGGGCTCCTGCACCCTCAAATGAGGTGGGGACCTCACTACACCTGGGAAATCTCTGCTTACAGCCACGGGGCCTGCCTGAGTCTGCTCGGCCAGGGAGCTTCTGGAAGGTCTCTCCACCTCTATGACATGACACAGCCCTGGGGCAGAGCCATCTGAGCCTCAGGAAGATCTTCCCCTGAAATCTCCACGTTTGAGAGGCCATGGGTGCGTGTTCCACTAGCCTCCTCCCAAGAAACTCAGTAGTGGGAGCTCAGTAGCTCTGAATTCTTTCAAATAGGATGTTGCAATTGGGACTTTCTGCACCCTGTGTTGGTGACAGGGGTCTAACACCCCCAGAGCCCAGACAAAGCCTGGACTACTCTGTGCACTGCCTGATACAGAAAAATCGCATGACCACAGGACTCTGGGGTATGACCAGCTTCCCCAGGGCTGATATCACCACCCCTGAATCCGAGACTTTAAGGATTACAGTCAAAGAGCTACTCTAGAAATCCCTAAGGTGATGGGCAGGACAGGTCTCGCTTGGTACCTTCTCAACAAAGGACCTGGACCCCCAGCTCAGACTCAACAGATCTCTGAAGTTCTCAAATCCCCAGTGTGACAAGTCATGCAAACTCAAAACTTTGGGCAGCTCAGTGCCCAAACCTGGTGCTTGCAGCAGAGACAGCCACAGAGGCAAGTCTCAGACAGTAACCTGCAACCCTGAAACTATACATTGAACACCCAGCCCTGCAACAACCCTGTGCGACCTTGGGAACATCCCTTGTTCTTTCTCTTAAAAAACTGCTGATCAAGGCTCTTTGATCTGGATGTGCCACTCCAGTGACATACTCTTCCAAACTACAACGGATCTTCCAGGAAATCCTGCTCCAGAGCTGGGTGGAGCTGTGAAACTCAGCAAAAACTTACTTCCTTCACTGCCTTGGAAGCAACACCCCACCACAACACGAGTTTCCTGATCACAAACACCTTTTGGCAGCAGGCAGCACAGGAAGGCTCAGCACACCGCAGCTCCTGGGCCACTGTAATTAGGATTCTATCCAGAGCAAAGCTGGACTTGCAGAGGGAGATGGACCATCTGGAGGGATGATTGTGTAATTAGCAGCTATGGATGCACAAGCTCCTTTCCTGGGAGCAGTTCCGTGTTTAGATGCAGACACAGACATGCCCGTGCCAAGAACACTGACCGTGGAAGAAGCGCTCAGACAGAAGGGCTGATGCATCAGCGTGATGCTCCGCTCCGACCTCGCACCCAAGCTCCCTCTCCCACCACGGCACAATATACACAACATTCAGCACCACGCACGGCTCGGCGGCTGTCTGCCCTCCCAGCTGCAGGACTCTGATGCATGTTCATTGTCCCAGATTAAGCATCTTTATTTCAGCCCCCAGAACGAAATCTGATCTCCCCCGCAAGCTGGATGGGGACACAGCTAGCCGGAGAGCAGCAGGCCAGCCAATTCTGCTGGAGCCCACGCCACCAGTTTCATTGGAGGGAAGGAACGCAACCAGGCTGGGGACCTACAGGACCAATCACCCTTCTGTGCCATGCTTCTCTATTCACTACACACTGGAACTGGAAGGGACCTTGATGAGCCACATACACCGATTTTAGAGGCTGCATGTTTCCCCATGAGTCACCGTTTAGGAAGCTTTGGGCTGAAGGAGAAATACTGCCTGCAGACACAGCGCCCTGGACTGTGATCTAATAAGCTGCCGGAGAGAAGATCTGGGCACAACCCCCCTGGAGAACCACAAGAACGACACACTTTGGTGGCTGTGGGAGGAAAATAAAACCAGGAAAACAAAGCACAGCTTGACTGTGAAGGGCGGATGAAGCTTGATTTGGTTCTGCTGCTGTCTAACTGATTTTATCCTCCCTTTTCTCTGCCTTGCTCATTTTTGAAATTGCCCCCAGAATAATTTACAAAGTAGATATCCTCCCTATGACAGCCAAAATCAGTTGCGTGGGGGCCATTTCTGCCAGCCCTTTTCAAGTCCTTCCCTCTTCCATGTCTGCCTTGGGCAGAGACATCACGAGCATCCATGCGGCTGGGAGGGCCCCACGTCTGCATGATGCTGTGTCATGGGGAACAGACACACCAACTGACAGCAAGGACGGCCAATTTAAGACCCTATTCTAGTTCCTCTGCTTTGATGACCCTGCTGGAAAAAAAAAAAAAAAAAAAAAAAGGGGAAAGCAGGAAAGAGAGCAAGAATGAGACACAACAGCATTGCAGAATGAGGGAATCCCCAATATCCACAAAATAAATGTATTGGGTCTGCCAAGACCATCTACCTCTACATGCAGGAAAGGTCAATGTGACTTGTTAGTTGCCAACAGGCATAGTCCAAATAACTTATTAATGGTAATGAATCCACTAATCACGAGACCCTTGTGCTCTGGGGAAAAGACATGAGAAACTATGCCCCAGAATGGCTCTTGTTATCACATTAGAAAGGATTAACACCCCTTTCTCGGCCAGCTGCCCAGTGCACATCTTTCTCTGGGCCTGCAGCAGCTTTGCAATGTATTTCCCTTTGTCCCTGGGCATGTTCATGTGCAGAAAGGACAGCAGTGGGGGCAGGAAAGTCCATTCTCCCCCATGTCAAAGGAGGCTGAACAATTATTCTCTGCTCCGTCTTCCCCCAGGCTCAGTCCTTCCAGCCCACCCAACCCATGCAGGACATCATCCACAAATGCTACAGCACGGTGTGTGTGCTGAGCACAATCCTGCTTCAGCTTTCTGAGGCGCAGAGGAGGAAAGGGAAAAGGTGAAGGAAACTCAGCATCAGGCAGGTTCCGTTCCCTCCAGGAGGAGGCTGCTCTCTGGAGGAAATTCTGCTGACAACCCAATGTTGCAGCACAGAGTGATGCCAGGAGCTGCAATTAAGCAGAACTCAGAAGTACCTTTCAGACAAACTCAGAGCTGTCTGCCTTGGCTGTATGTGCCTTCTTGCAGCTCTACAAAAGCCAAGGAGCCAAAGGTGGTATAATGCCAAGCAGGTACGGAGTTAATTAAGACTGAAGTGCTCACATTATAACTGTCCTGCAGCATTAGATAAATACAAAGCACTTCACAGCTCTCTCCCCTCTCCTGCTTCCAACCCACTGAGTTCCTTGAAAGGCTGGGTGAAGGGGAAAACACTCCTCTGCATAACAACACCCAAGCAGGGAGCAGTCCCAGCAGCAACAACCCAGACAAGCTGAGTGTGACCCATTTGCTTTATCTACAGAGATAGCAGCTCATGATGGCAGGAGGGAGCCAGAGGGGCTGCGTGGGGAGGAAACACATCCTGTAGATCTTACAGATAAACTGATGGCCTCACTTGCCCTTCCCACGCATGCATGCCAAGCCTTCTTCTCTGAGACCAGACCAACCAAAGAGGGCTTTATGAAATTCCGCCTCCAGCTCCCATTCTTGGGGATCTCCTGTACTTGCTCACAAAGCAGTGAAGCCCAGCCTGGCACTGCTGTGCAATGCCAGGGAACACACAGACTGGCCAGCGAGCTCCCCAGGGCTTAAAGAGGTTTCTGAGGCACCCACTCTGGTCTCCAGGGCTGGCCAGGGAGTGACATCTTCTCGCATGTCCTGAACAGCAGTGACCCACTCCAGTTTATTGCTTGTCAACTAGCTACTGCAACAGCCCAGTAGCTGCCTGTAATTCCTTCAAAGTCACTACTAAAAGACAGTCCTGAATAAAGCAACCCCCTTCCAGCATATTGCATTGCAACAGTACAATTTTCAAAGCGAGAGAGAAAGCAGATATTTGCAGTGCACCTCAAAGAAGTCCCCAAATCTCTATCAGAATGTACTATATATAAAAATAGCTTCTTTACTTGAAGCAGCCAACTTTCAAGGGGGACCTAAAAGAAAAGGTTTCCAGAGGAAGAAGAATGATGGCAAAATCAAAGTTACTTTTTTCCATCTGATGCCTGCTGTAAAGTTGAATGGCCCAGAAAGTTGCTGGCAATGAGTGTGCAAACCATGCAGCAGATAAGAAATTATATTTGAAGCACTGGTCTCTGAGATTGCTTAAGCTTCCTTTACTCCAGAAAAGCTTTGGGGCTATGACCCTTCCTTGCCTGGCACCCTGTATTGTGTTCAGAGGCTCACCCTCACTTTAAAGCAGTTCTGTTTTCATCTGGGGGGGGGGGGGGGGGGGGTTGACACCACCCTCAAGGTCTCACCAGTAACTCAGGTCTTCCCCTTTACGGAGCTGTAAGGAAAATCTGAGCCGAAACTATCATCTGCTCAGCCCCAACCTGGGTACACAGCATGCCTGCCCATCCTCCAGCCCCTCACAGCCTGCTGAAGGGCTGGTAAACATTATTTTAGGCTGAGGACAACAGCACCAGGTTTTAGTGGGACTTGGCAGACAAAACTAAATGACCAGAATCCCATTCTCCCTTTCTCGCAGAGCTCTATTCTGCTTACTTCTAACCAAAACCAGATCTTAACTTTAATCCTGAATCCCCTGGGTGAAGGTTTTGTTCCCTTTGGCAGCTCTCCCTGGAAGGGGACGGATGGTCGGGGCTCTCCAGCGCTGATGCCGAGCACAACAGCTCGGTGCAGGGATGGAGCATGAAGACACAGTGATGGAATCGCTCCAATCCAGCCCTGAGCTTGACTTTGCCTATATCTCCACACCATCTTGCAGGCAGATGGCATTTTGCTGCTGGTCAACAGGACCTGCTAGTTTGGGCCTAATGCTGTATATTTTGGGCCATCTGTACACTAGCAGGAAGTGCTTTCCTTGTTACTGCCACTCCATGCCTTTTTCCCCTATACAACATGCTGTTGGGGTGAACCATATCCTGATGCCTGGAGCTATGGATTCAGGAGAATGAATTGGAAACGACAGAAAAGATGGGAATAATTCTATCTGGATCCCTCAAAAGTTCCACACCAAGCTCCAGTCAACCTGGGATAGCTTCTAGCTAAAAATGGAAGGACCGGTTCATTGTGGCCAGGTTTCTCAGGACTAAAGTTAACCCAGCAAAGCACAGATCAAGGCAGTAGATTCAGTCTGAGTGATGGCACCAGAGCAACCCGCATTTGTCACACTGATACTGGCGCCAGCAGAGCTAGAGTAGCCCTGTCCTAAAATAGAGCTGCCTCATTTCTCTGGAACGCTGAAACTTTGTTCACAGTATCCCTGATACCAAGCAACAGGACTTGCACACAGGCAATGAATAGCCCTCAGCCACCCAAAAGTCATCACTGCCTGCTGCTGGAGGGGACCCAGGAACCAAAGCAGAGCTGCAGTGAAGTGAGAAGGAGAAGATCTCTTCTAAACCTCCTGCTTCTTCAAACACAGCTCCCGAGGCTTAGCCCAGGGAGCCTGATTTGGCCTTCTGCGACCGGGACTAAGACCCTGATAAGAAAATCCTGCAACGCCTTTGATGCTGCTAATGGCCATTACATAACAGCCTGCTTAATATCTGTACTTAGCAAATGTTTCCCCTGTGGTTAATTTTAAAAGCTCCACTTCGCAGGAAATCACACAGCATTTTAGAAACCTGGTCAAAGAGATGAGAGGGACTCACTGAAGTTAATTACAGCTCTGCCCTCCTTGTGCTCAAAGCACTGCCCGCACACAGCGCCTGCCCATGCAGCTTGGCCACTCGAGCACAGCTTTAACACCACTCTTTGGGCTTTTTAATAACAGCTCAGGGGTTACTCCGAGTGATGGGGGGCCTTGGTGACCAGCAAATACCTGCCACGGGTGCAGGAGAGAGCTCGCAAGGTTGGAGCATCAAGATGCAGGAGCAGAAGCATACACAGATGGCAGGCTCATCGATTTTCTGCCTTTCAGCATCTCTGATGGGATGAGTAAGTGCCATCAGAGATGGTCTGCAGTACAGAGAGAGACTCAGAGAGCTGAAAGCCACAGGAAAGGCAGGAACAGGAGGTGGGATAGAGCTGAGGGATAATCTCTGCTTGTCTTCCAGACACAAGCTGTAGACAGCAGATGATTACAAACAGATATAATTACAGGCTCTATCTCCTCTTACAGAGCTAGAGTTGCCCTGATTAGTTAGTCTCAGGCATTTCCTCACCTTTGAGCCACTGACATCTTCAGCAGTCTCTGACAGGAGCCCTTCAGAAGGATTTTTCCAGGCAGACCTCCCTTTTCTGTGGAGGCTTGCAGGCTGCAGTTAATTTTGATCTTATTGTGCTGATGGGCTTTAAGGTGTGCCTTTAGATTGCATCTTTGAAGGGGCAAGTGCAGAACTGCCCAAGCTCGCTATTACGCTGAGAGATTGGTGGGGAGCAGCAAGAGCTGGGCTGCCCCATGGCAGGGGATGAACCAGGAGCCAAGAGCCATCCCAGTGCCAGCAGCACTGCATGGACAGAGGCTGAACACAGCAGGCAGAGCCCAGGGCCAGCAGCACACTCCACTTGAACCCCCAGATGTGGCAAATGATAAACCAGATCCAGGACCCAGCCAGGAAACTCAGGCAGGAGCCAAAGAAACCAGGAACAAAGACAGAGCCAGAAACAGGCACACCAACTGCACAGCTCAAACCAGGCTTAAACCACAGGCTGAGTTTAAATAGAGCTCCTGGGCCATGGGCAGGGTGTGGGTGGGGGTCCCAGGTGAGGCTCATCAGGGCAATTAAGGCCTATTAGCACCCTCAGCACCTGGTCCATGCCACTGCCTAGCTTCGAAAAACCAAAACTGAAGTTTCTATCAAAAAGAGCAAGTGCTCAAATGTGCTGCCCATCCCTGATGCCTGTCCCAGACTGAAAGCTGTGCACAAATGTCTTTAATACCCTTCACATCAATCTTCTTAATACACTTATGAAGATTTATTTGTGTGTTTCACAGCATCTCCACGGTGCTGTCTGTACCACCTAATCAACCTCCTGCCAAGTGGTGTGGTGTGCTAGGTGACCTCCCACACCTGTACGGTTTTGGGAACTGGTGATTTTAGGAGAGCTGTAATGCTTTTGTTTGTTCTAAATCCTTAAATTCCCAGAGCTGGGTATCTCAGCTTCCTTGGACAGAGACAATCCAAACCATTAACATCCTTGTCCTTCAGGTGCAGAGGGAAAACATGAAGAAGCCACTCCAAACCCTCAGTAACTTGCTGAAAAGTGTTTTGTTTGTTTTTTTTTTTTTTTTTTTTTTTTTATACAAAAAGTATCTAGCCAGACTCAGTGTCCTGAAGCCAACAACCTTGTGAAGAATCAAGATGACAGCCCAGTTAAGAGCTGCCGTTGCAGCTGTGCAGCACAGCCACGTCGTGCTCTCATCTGCAGCGCTGCTGGATCCGGCCCTGGCTGGACACTAGCCCTGCTCAGCACCGGGGTTTCTCTGGCAGGGGAGAGGGAGAAAGGAAGAAAAGGTGGAGAATTTTTTTTGGCTATACTTACATTGCAAAATTCCTGTCTAGGAAACACCTGTTTCTCAGCAGCCCTGCCCAGAGCTGCACACCGACAATCCCAAAGATGAAGAAGACAAAGAAACACAAGAGGAGGACGTTGCCTAACATAGGCAGAGTATCTAACAGCAGGGTGACGAGTATTCGCATACCTGTGGGGAGAAGGAGAAAACAGGTTAGAGAAGCCCTTTGATGGGGAGACAGCTGTGTTTGCAGGAATTGGGATGTTTACATTTTCACCTAAACCTTAAGGCTGAAAAGGAAGGTAAAGAGTGCAAAAGGCTTAGCGGCAAATGGGAACAAACAGTGTATCTCCAAAGGGTGGACTTAAGGGTGGGATTTTCAGGTGTTTTCAGTAACACAGCACTCAACAACACACAAACAAGGGCAAAGCTGCAAGACAGTCTTTCCTGGAGAAACGTCCCCACAAACCGTCGGCCTCCTAAGAAATTGTTAAAATATATATTTATAAACATACTGAACATCTGTCATGAATTGCACAAATTATTCCCCTAAACAATACAAAGCCTTGTGTAGGAGAGCTGTGGCTGTTCTCTGGGCGTCCTCCATGGACAACTCTCCTTGCTGGCCACAGGACTACCAAGCAGAGGAGGCAGGGGAAATGTGGACTTTTTTGAGGGGGGGGAAAGCAGGAGGTAAATGTGTCTTTCTCTAAGGAAAGCTCCCAGCTCTGCTCCCTTCCCCTCCTGGCTGCCAGGAGACCCTCCCAGTCAGTCTTGCACTTCTCTGCGAAGCTCCCCAAGAACCTGTGTGCATAGCAAGGGCTCCACCAGCACCTTTGCTGCCAGGGAAATACTGATTTCTGTGCAAGATCTTCCAACCTAAATAAGAGGCTCGAGGAATGAGTCAACCTTGCAGAACCTCAGCTAACCCTTGCATCCCCGTCCAGCATGTTCCCAGCATTGCTCTCCAGGGGAGACGGGGCAAGGAGGCAAGGACTGGGCTGGCACCTGGGGGCTGCCCTGTCTCACATGTCAGGGCACCTTCAAACTGAAGGATAAAACAGGAATAAAAAGGAAATAATGACCTGCAGCTCAGCAGCGCAATAGAGGTTAAATGAACCTCTGAGACACCAACCAGCCATCATTTCAACAGCTGATAAATGATGAGAGGAGAACTAATGAAAAGAGGAAGAGACAAAGGCAAATGCTAAATTATAGAACAGAATAGAAACCAGAAACTGAGCCTTGGGAGCCCAGTGCTCAAGTTTATGGCATGGTGGAAATGGGTGCAGCTGCTGGGTAAGGTGACAGCGTCACGTTTGGAGGCATTTCATCCCACTAACATTCTGCTCTGCAAATGCCTTTTCCTGTCTGCCTGCGTGGAGCCTTTTCTCCCTACATTTCCCCTAGCAGGATGCTGCTCTCCATCAGTCATCCCGTTTGAACACTGCCCACCGATTTCCACACTGGCTTCTCCCCACAGCCAGCTCCCGACTCACGCCTGATGCTTCTCCTGCCAATTCAGTGACGATGCTGGGCTGCAGCCTGGCATCTGTAGACCCCAGGAACGGGCGCTGGGAGGAGCAGGGTCTCCAGGAGAGATGTGTCCGTCCAACCCAGCACCTCCCAGGCCGCGGCAGGCAACGCTGGCAGGAGCCAGAGCCCCGTCACGCCGCTTTACCCCCCTCCTCGTGTCACTCTGCCAGCGGAAATGCAACCCAGCCAAGCAGGGCCGGAGCCGACACTACCTTGTCAGCACGGCACGAGAGGATAAACTGCCCCGGCCAAGAAGTCTGTGCTAATAAATAATTAGGTGTGAGTAATAACCTTTGCATCCCCAGGCAAGAGCCTTTCAAGGTCTCCATGCCCAGCTGCGTCTTGGCTCCGGTGTGGCTCCCTGCTGCTGGCGCCGGCAGCGGATGCTTCTCCGGAGGAGCCGCGATCCTGGCGCCCAGCCCCGTGCCAGCCCTCCAAACCCCGTCCCCGTGCCGCCCCGGCGCCGATGCCACCCTGAGGGGAAGGGACACGGCGCTGATGGCCAAGCGCCACGGGCGGTGTGGGATGCCGGCCAGCGTCCCTGCTGTCCCCTGGAACCGCGACGCCGGCCGCGGGGACAGCACCGGCCTCTGCACCAGGCGCAGGGGGAAACCCCGAGCTGGAGGGAAATGGGGGGGGGGGTGGTGTTGATTTTGTAACGCCTGTTCCCAACATGTGCTACCACCGTGAGCCCCCCAGGAGCACATCCCACGGCACTGCCCTTCAGACCTTCCTTGCAAATCTATTTTGGAAGAGCAGAAAAGCCTCACTTAATTCCCACTAGAAAGAGGATGCTGGGCTTTTCTTCTTTCCCCCCACCCCCACCCTCACTAATATCTTTGCCTTCTTTTTCCCAAAAATGGTTAAAATTTATCTCCCTGTGCCAGACAACTTTTTTCCGCTCAGCTACTTTTGGTATTTTGGGTTGTTTAGTGGCACCATTCTCGAGATTGAATCCATCTGTTCGCTATCCGCTAAGGGTGCTCTGGGCTCTCAGCAGAATGTCAAGTGTGCCATGGGAAAAGAGCATGAGCATCGGTTAGGCTGAAACGAGGATCAGGATTTCTTTTCATTCCCATTCCATGTGATGCCTGGTTTAAACCACATAGTAGAAAAATAAAAATAAAGCAGTGAAATGGATTTGAAAAAAGTGGCCACTACTAAAAAAACCCCCTAACTTCAGCCCCTGCCAAACATATAAATTGCAGGAATTGTATTTTTCCAGTCATTTTCAAGGAATAATTTCTAATAGAGATGATGTTTTTATTGGCCAGGGTTCTCCTTTCTTTTCTTAACAAATAAAATAAAAATTAAATAATCTTGTGGGTGAATTTATTGTGCCTGGAAGCAAAGAGCTAATAGCACTGGCTGGAACCCAGGAAAGTGCCCAGGCATCACGGGGATAAATCGCCAGGCTATTTCTCACGGGTCCCTGCTTCTCCTGTGCTGCCACTGAACACCAGGCTCGTTTCTTCTGACCCAGCCGTAATTTCTGTCTGCTTGATGTCCTTTTGCGACTGCCACTGAGCCGAAAACCCCGCTCTCACCACCAGTGTGGTGGCCAGGGGAGCGTGGCCGTCCCAGTGCTGGGGAGGGCGCAGACGGGGCCGAGCGGGACCTGCTGCCGGCTGGGATGTGGTGGGTGTCCCAGGTAATCCCCCGGCTAAGCTGTGGCATCCCCAGGGATGAAAGACTAGAAATTTGTCATAGAATCACAGGATGGTTTAGGTTGGAAGGGACCTTAAAGATCATCTAGTCCCAACCCCCCTGCCCCGGGCAGGGCCCCCTTCCCCCAGCCCAGGGGGCTCCCAGCCCCGTCCAACCTGGCCTTGAACCCTTCCAGGGAGGGGGCAGTCACAGCTCTGGGCACCTTGTTCCAAAATGTAACTCTGTTATTACCAGAAACTGCAAAAATACAACAAAATAGAGGGTTGTTGCTATCTATTCTCTGCAGACCCTGGATTATATCAGTCTGAAACAGTAAAAGTACTGATGTTAAAAGTTAGTGTCTCATAAACAAGTCAAGTCTGTGATTATCTGCCCTCCAGGAACTGAGATATTTCTAAGAATACTAATCCTGCCCTGGCACTTGTTCAAGACACTGGTAGTGTTGCAAGACCAGCCTAGCTGCTCGTCAAGCTGGGCAACTTAGCTCCAAACACGGATTGAGCCCTTTGGATTTCATCTTACATATTATTAACAAAAAAATCGATCATTTTCTATCACCTGTCTTTTGAAAAAAAATTTAAAGATCAAAGTGGCAAGTGTATCAGAAGACAATCTAAAAGGCTTTATTCAAAGCTTCAATATCAGACTCCTAAGGAAGGAAAACACAAGCTGGACCCAGATCAAAATTTCACCTAGACTTGGAAGCATTTCGATCCCTGGGCCTTGGTTTAATAGGTACGTAAATCCTTAAATTCCCTCGGCTTCTGCTCTCAGCCCAGCTGAATCCCAGCTTGAGACTCCCACTGTTTCAAGGAAGAGCTACGAAGGGCTTCATGGATTTAAATAACTTTGGAGCGAGCCTGGTCCTCAGCCCAGCCTGAAACCCTGTGGGGGCTCCGAGCTGAGCTCGTGCCAGCGTCCCTCCGCTCCTCCCTGTCCCAGTGAGGCCACGGAGCCACCGCGCTCAAAACCCCGGAGGAAAACTTTGTGTTGTGCTTTTGGGCTGCTCTGAAACCCTGGTAACAAAAACCTCATTAGGAAAACAAAGCTCCAGAGGGTTTAATGGTCCCTTTTAGCCTCTCATTTCTTTTTGTCTTGCTTCTAACTTCTAATGATGTCACTGTTGAATTTATAGATTTTTTTTTTGTTTTTTTTTTTTTTTAAAAGAAAAATCCTGAAGAATTTGAGCTCAGAGAGAAACTTCAAAGACTCCTGTGCGTAAACATCCATCTGTTCCCTTGCATGTTCATCTGAGGTACTGGAACCGAAACCCATCTGGGGGAGTTTGTTTTGCTGTCCCTAGATGTGCCGACACGATGGGCAATTAATCTAGGCAGGATGTTCAGCGAGGACCAGCAGGGCTGTGTCATTCAAACGAGCTTTTAAAAAGAACAGGAAATGTACATTTTTTTTTTTCATGATTTGTATGATTTCCATACAATGCCGCTGCATTTTGAATTGAGTGGATTTTGGTTAAAAAATGATGAAAGCGCTATGAAATTAGTACCTTGCAAAGGATTGCTCAGCAGACAGCTGATTCCAGCAGGAAATTATTTCAATTTGTTGGTTCATCTTTCAAATTGGATTTAGAAGACAAGCAGCTGAAGCCACTTGAAAATGGATTTAGGGGCCACTTGAACTTTCTATCGTGGATGAACTCAATTTTGTTTTACATGACAGCAAACCCTCTGTGGTATTTCACCAGCAACAGAGGCTGCTGCGCTTCTAATCCTGAACACAAAGAAATGGAAAGACCTTAAATAGCTGAGAAGGGAAAAGGAACCCATCCAGGGCAAGAAGATCCTTCTTCGAACTGACCTTTCCCCTTTCTTTATAACAACTTTGTTACGTACTTTGCAGTAGGAGTAGAGAGTTACCTGCCTCAGAGTGTTCACAAAAAACAGGTGGAAAACAGCCACAAAAACTTGGCACCCCAGGTATGAGATTTACTCCCTTGCCCTTTACTAACATTGATAATTGTAATAAATGATCTCTAACTTGCCATTAAAAATTAAAATAAATCAATTTGCTCTCACTGACGGGAGAGAAGACAGCTCCTGCAAGGCTTAGCATGCAGGGCTAGTTGAGGGGGGGCTTAATCCCCTTGTTTTCCCCGGGGGGGCAGCTGCAGCCAGTCGGGGATGTGGATGTGGCACGGACAACGTTGTTACTTACTTGGGACCCTGTTAATGGCTCGTAGCGGCCGAAGTACCCGGACGGTGCGGATCGCAGACAAGCTCACGTTGTGTCCGTCCAGAGAATACTCCATCATGCTGCGGGGGAAAGAGGAAAGGCGTCAGGACGTGGGATGCTCAGTCTCTGGGCACGAGGGTGCTGGGGCTGTCGCTGCCCGCGCGCTCCGGGAGCCATAGTGCTGGCTTGCAAAACCTCCCACCCTGTGTTTGCAGCTTATAATGTGCATCATGCTGTCAACGGGGTGGATATAAGGGATATTTCAGCCTCGAAGAGATTGAAAACGCCCACGCGAGCAGCGATGGCGTAGGGGCTGGCAGGCAGACGCGCTCCCGGGCTAACGGGCTGCAGGCACGGGTAACACATTGGGAAGTGGAACCTGGCACGGCAAGTTGCTGCAAAGTCAGGGCCACAGAAATCGAGACAGAGGGGGGAGCCCCCAACTATCTGCTCGGCTCCCGCAGTCGTGCTGCTCTCCCTTTCCATTAGCTTATCGTGCTCCGGCCCGCGGCGCATCCGCAGCCTTCCTGGGGAGATCACTGCACAACTCCACGCAGCTCAAAGTCAATAAGATGTTGCTGGTATTACACCCCCTACTAGCACCCCAGCACATTGTCACGCCAGCTTATCTCTCCCCGTATGACAAAAATGTGAATAACCAAGCTGACAAATGACGTTAAAGTAGTTTGGTTTCCATTTTATTATTAAGAATAGGGAACATTTTCTTTTTCATGCTCCGTCTCCATTTCACATAAACATTTCTCTTCCAGGCTGGGAAGGATGTTAAGTCAGTTTTCTTGTTCTTTTATAGCAATGAGTGGCAAATGTGTGTAGTGTTGATTTTTAATGGGGTTATGGCTAGTTAGCATGGCTGTAATTACAATTTATGGGTTTGACTACAGGGAAACACTTGTAAATATGTCACAAATCTCTCACCACGCCTGTTCAAATAACATAACAGCATCAAAAGCAGCCCTGCAAGTAAGCTGTTGGATCCCATGGAGAAAGAGCTTTTGTTTTGCTTTTTTTTTTTTTAAAAATAAACAAACAGATATGGAAGGAGGAAGGCAAATACAAGCTGAACTGCCATAACCAAGGGTTTCGGAAGCTTCAGTGGAAAGAGAGCTTTTCAACTGAAGCATCCTGCAGCCAGGATGGGCCAAAATCATTATGTGCCATCAAGAAGCAACAACCGAATGGACTGAAGCAACAGCTGAATGAATTTCAGGCAATAGCAGATGGGGGTTTGGTTTTGGGCCAACCTTGCTCAGACACATCATCACCCATGTGCCTGTGCTCTGCTTAGCAGGAGCTTTGCACTTTGTATTCGATGCCTTGCCCCGCTCTACAAAGTTTAACTGGGAATATCTAGATGTTCTGATGTTTGCTTCTCTTTGGTGCAACCCTGCGATATCACTGGCATTGCACTGAGGTGACTCTGGCCCGCTGGCCTTAATTTGCCATGCACAGAGGCCCTGGTGATTTTGAGCTGTTTTTAGTGATAACCTTCCAGAGATACATTTTTTTTTTTTTCCGAAGTAGTTAGTGCATCTTTATAAATCAAAACCACCTTAAAGCTTGTACGTAGGAGCGGAGCCGAAGATGAGGAATAGCTTTAAAACTCAGCACGGCATGAAAACAGGTTTTAAATCTAACGTGTGTTCATTAAGCAGCCGGAGCAGAGCAGTGGGAAGCAGCCTGGAGCTGCATGAAGGACCACACAGTGGGAAAGCCATCAGAAATGCCCCTCACACCTGCACCGAGGGGCCTGGAGCCAGCACCAGGTGCCTGCTCTAAACAGACCTTGCAGGAATAGACAAAGCATTGTTTAAAGTCCCCGAAGTGCCGAACTGTGCCGAAGCCTGCATCTATTCGCTGGCATGGTCCCAATACAGCACACTCACAATTTATCGGGTGGCTGAGTAAGTGGATTTTAGTGTAACTGATACAGTTTTTGAACTAGTAATAGCATGAAAAAGAAGTATGAAAAGCTCCAGTGGGAGCTGTTTTTGTACTCTGAAGAGCACATGCAACTATTTGTGCTAAAGGGCCAACTCCTGGGAGCTCACTTTTACTTGATCCTTGGAGTTTCAAAGGGGCTGATAAAAGATGAATAATCCAGGATTTAGCCTAGGAAACAGACTTTCTGACCCTGATGCTTTGGGCTTCCATGATACTCCATTTAGGATTTGAAAATAAGTCTCTGGGGGATCTACACTGCCCACCAAAGCCAACCTGAAACACTTGGTGGATTCCAGACTGCACGTTCTACAAGCAGTGAAAACATTTGAAACCTTAATGAAAAAGCCAAAGGTGTCTTTTTCAAGGCCAAGCTTGGGGTCCTGTTCTCATATCACACTTGTAAACCAAGAATATCCTGGAAATGCCTGACAGAAACCTACTGGAGCTGGAAATTCTGGGTATGCAGGGACTGGAGGTCTGGGTGACCCGGTGCTTGGTAGGCGATTCCCTACAGCCTCTGGGTACTGAAAAAAAGGAGGCACAAGCTTTTGCGATGTCTTCTACCATGAACAGTTTCCAGTCCTTCAGCTGTCAAGTTAAAGATGTCCAAAGCATATCATATGATCCTGCAACGTCTCCAGGGACTGGATGCACAAGGAACCTCTCTGGTTTTAGCTCTTGTGGACAACATTTTTGATGCTCAGGAAATGCTTTCAACTTGGCTGCTGGACAGACTGAAAGGTTGTAAGCTCCATTCGGTCTGAAATTTTCCAGGGTACATTTCTCAGGCGAGCAAAACATGAAAGGGCTTTCAGTGATGGAACAAACTTCAGACACAATCTGTTGCTAGAGGCAGAAGATATGTTTATTTTGTAGTTTCCCAGCTTACCCTCCGCTCTCTTTCGTATACTTGCTGGTAAGCCAAATCAGCTTATTTGAGAAGACTGAATCAGACAAACAAAGCAGGCAGCGCTGCCTATCACTTGTTTCCCTTCTTATCAGAAAAAGCCTCATAAGAACTTCATCACATCCATCCACTTGCTGGAAAAAGCAATTGTTGTTATTCCAGTAGTGTGTTCCCTGCTAAAATCACCTCCAGTTTTAGGAGCAGATGCTGGATTGGACGGTGGTGGTGGGAGAGCTGAAGGACCCCAGCCCAGCTTCTCCTTGATCACCACCAGCGTTACCAGACAGTCCAGCTCCCAGACCAGCCTCTATTCTGAGAGATGGGAAATAATGTCATAGGTATGGCTCAAAGACATCGGAATCATCTAGAGATGGCCCAGGATCAGCCAGAGAAGGGGCCGTTCCTCTTCTCATCTTCAGCCTGAAGTAATGCCAGACTGGCAGGAGGGCTTCTGATTGGGGTCTCCTGGTGCTTCTGCTGCTTTCATTCTTCTCATATGCCAGCCACGAAGGGTGGGGACATGCCCTGGGAAACTATCAAATGACTCACCAGCCACCTTCCCTCTTCTCCCGGGTGATGCGTGAACAAAGATCCTGGTGCCAAACCTGATGCTGAGGTATGAGCAGAGGGCTCAGCCTTTCTGCCTGCATGTGCTGTTTTATTTTTTATTCTTCCACTTTGCTGGGATGATCTGTTCGATGATGTGGGGAACCTCTGCTCGCCCATCAGGAGAGCTCATCCTGGAGGTTCAGCGTGAGGAAACATCGTCGGCATGTTGGTTATGGATGGCAGATTTCTGATCCTGAGTTCCCCCTGCAACCACAGCCTGGCTCTTCCCCTACTACTTCTGGTTTAAACACTGCAGCAGCTTTGGGAAAAAAAAATAAATGAACTGCTTCTTTTGCTGTCCCTGCTGTTCTTTCCTGGGCTGTAACCACACACGGGTTCAAAGGAAGCTCTGCTCAGGAGAGCTCATGTTTTATTCAAACCAGTAAGGCCATTCCTAATTGTATTCCAGACAAATAACATGGAGCAAAACAAAACTCCATTAGTGCAGTGAAGATTGTACATCACTAATGTGAGGGTAAAAATGCCCCAACATATTACAGGAATGTTCTAATTAACCCCAGGCTGGTCATTACAAACCCAGGAATTCAGAAATAAGGCAGAGATCTGTAATTAAGACAGTCTATCCCTTTCTAGAGTATACTAAGCAGATAAGAACACCTGGGATTTTTAAAATCCATTGATTTATGGAAAAAAGTTTTACACTTACCAAGCTTTTAGTCCACTCAGTTTTTCCCTATGGGAGTGAGGGAACTGGTGCCAAAAGCACCCAGATCTTCCTTATATCTGTTTATTAACACATCCTAAATCACAAATAAGCAGCTGTGGGAGATGGTATTAAAATGTAAAGCAAGAGGAGTCTACAGGAGGCATTTGCATGCACTTGTAATTTGGGTCAACTTCTGGCCGGCTTCTTGCACTGGGATTTCAACCTTCTGAACTAGATTTTTGGGCTAGATTCTCCCTGTTTGGCCAGTTTCTGCTTCTCTGCCTCACTCTAATGGTGTCATATAGTAGGAGCGGGGCTGAGCCACTGTATGTTTTTACCACCCGTTCCAGAGACAGCAGTCTTAACCACGAGTACTGGGACATCCTGGCCATCACAAGGACTAGATCAGCGTGCACTTGATTTGACAGAGATGACACTGGAAAAAAGATTGCTACTGAAAACCAGATGGCTTTTGCCCTGACATTCACACCCCACTCCATAATCTGGCATAGTTGCCAGAGGTGAAACCAAACGAGACTTATGAGACTTGAGCCTAGCAGCTTTCGCAAGATGTTATGAAAACCAGCCAGGACAACCTACAGATTTGGCTCTCTGGGGTTTTTTTGCTTTCATCGCGAAGAGCAAATTTATGAGGTTTTGTTACTGACCCCGCCATCACGATGAAGAAGTCCAGACGATTCCATGTATCTCCAAGGTAACACTTCTGCCCAAAGATCCCCAGAGCCACCATCTTGATGACCATCTCCACCGCAAAGAAAGCGAAAATGAAGTCGTCAAATGCCTGGAGACCAGTAAAAGATTATTACAGTCAGTTCTGCTGTGCTCTCTTATCAGGGAAAGGAGAAGCAGAGACATGAGTGCTCCCACCGCAGAGGCACTCTGCATACCCTGGCAGATGCTGCAAGGCAAAGCACTGGTACCAAAGTGCCACCTACTGAGCTCGGGAATAAAACCTGCAATACCCGAGGGGTCACGGCATCCCCTGATCACAGCTCCTGGGTCAGCGCACTGCCTGGGAAGAATTAGCAGCTTCTATTAATCTACTGACAAAGATAAAAGGACATCATCGTTGTACAGTTGGGGCTGCACTTGCAGTGGAAGCTGTGTTTCCAGACGGGGCAGCTCACACCTCCTAGAAAGAATTTGTCCCATCTAACACCAAGGGATGTGCTTCACCTCTGATGCTTTCACGGATTCCCAAAGGGACCAGGTTCCTGCCCACAGACCCAGACACAGGTGGGAGTGGACGTGCACATCAAGCAGAGGCTGAAGCAGTAACTGTAAGGGCATCCCACTGGCAAGCGGCGTGCCCAGCGCAGGACCTCCTGATGACAGTCAAAGGTTTGGGGTTTAGATTATCGTGAAAGCAAGAAGAGAAAATAAAGGTGTACAAATTAATCAGCTGCTGCCCTATAGAACATGCCTCAGCCTTTACTTAAAGAAGGACTTCTGTAGGGTAGTGGGGCCTTGGACTGCTGTGATTTCTCCAGCCTTCCTGGAGATTACAGGTGCGTGCATGGAATGTGGAGGTACTTGAAGATACCTTGAAATAGACTTTGTCGTAAATACTCTTTTCTACATGGTGCCTGTAAACTTGAACATCAGGAGATACAGATTGCTTTTAAATCACATGCAGAGGCTTTGTTGTTTTGCATAACAGACTTGATAAAGCACAGGAACTTCTCAATCTCCAGACATGACTGCTGCTGTTCAAACCACTTCTTAATGACCATACTGTTTGGTATTGTGTCTCTGGCACTTCCGTACTGAGGCCTGAGTGGGTAAATGGTAAAAATAACAGAGCATCCATACGGAAGCCAAGTTCCCACTGCACATCCACGTACCTCTGCGTGGCTGCTTGAGCACCATCTTCTCTGGCTGCTGGCTTTATCAACCAACCTTCTCCTTGACAAACTACACAAAAGTTTTGCTCCATTATTTCAGCTCATTTAATAACTGGCATCTGAATGCCTCCATAAAGAAGTTCAGGTTTTTCTACCTCATGTTCTGGCTTCCATTCCCTCCTGCAAGCTGCAACAGGGTGAGGAATAACGATGGCTTTACTTGCAGCCCTTTTCTGCCTGTAAACCCTTCGGGATAACATTTCGGGTTTTGCAAATATACACTGTAATCATTAAGCTGGTATCAGAAACCAAATTCAGTGTCTGAGCTCCTCACAGACGTATGAGCGTCTATTCTGAGGAGAAAAGACCATGCAAGCTGTGTGTTTGTGATCTGATTAAATTATAAAGAAAAGGAAACAAATAAGGAGCATTCAATAATGTCACCTCCTCATCCAGGAAGGATTCCCTTTGTCTGCCTGGACATTTTGGCAGGGACAGGCATCCTCCAAAGTCCCACCTGGGTGAATACATGCGGAAAAAATGGCAGGCATGTGGAATGTAACCTTTAAGGAGATATCAGACACTTTCTGATGGGCTCTCTGAGGGATGCTTAGCCCGCAGCTGCCTGCAGTGTGACATTTTCTGGTGAGGGAGGTGGACTGGCTACCTCTGGCTGCCGCTTCACACCATCCCTGAGCCTGACCCTCTGAGACAGTCCCTATGCTGGATGCCTCTGGCAGCAACAATTGCTTCAAAATTGACCTCATTCCGTAACAAACCCCTAGTGGCTTCTCAATCCATCTGGTTTACTTGGCTCTGCATTGAACAGATCCTCTTTTAAGATTGAAAAGAGGTTCCATGATAAACTCTGCTATTCCTGGCATCTGCAGGCAGTTCTGGACCAATCTTTGAAAGAGGCAGGAGAGGCTGGTTGGAAGGATCCCACTGGCCTTCCCATACAGCTGAAATGCCCAGAGGGAAGTAAAGCAGCAGATCTCTGTGGGGTTCAAATGAACCAAGCCTGTTACACTGCCACATGTCAGGAGTCCTTGCCTGGGTTGATGTAATGCGTTAGAAACAAGGAAAGTTGGTTCCAAGCCTGAGGACCGAGTTGCTGCAGGAAGCCCAGCGCCAAGGTGCAGCCCACATACCAGATGCTGCCGGGATGTGCTTCCAAAACGAATCCTGTGGGCATATGGCAGCGAGGGGATTGCCAGGACGCAGCGAGGGATGAAGTGACACGTGTGATGCCCCACGAAGCTTGGGGTGGCCGACAAGGGTCTGTGAGTTTTGTGTGGGGATGCATTTCCCAAAGGACCGTTGTCCTGGCACTTGGCAGTGCTGACTTCAGCTGGTGGGCTCTGCTGCGGAGAGGAGCAGGCACGGGCCCACCCTGTGGTTTTTTTTTTTTTGTTCATGAAGAAGGGAATGAAATGGCAAAGTCACCGGTGCCATGTTGCACAGACCAGACTGCAGCAATCCAAGAGATGCTGGCAGTGAGCTGGCTGGGGTGGAACCGACCGACTGTGAGCAAGAGGTTCCCTGCAGCATTGGCCATCCTGTAATTAAAAAGTGTTCAACACCTCCAGTGGGAGCCGGAGGCCCAGTTTTAGGCCCCCCTACCCTTATTAAATGTGTAGAGAAAGGATCTTGCTGGGGTAAGTCCAAATCAGTCAGCCTTTGAGTCTCACCTAGGGCCATGGCAGCAGGCCTCCTCGAAGGACAGGCTTTGCATGCCCAAGTGTGGCTTAGTGGAAAAACCATCCCTATGGGAAGGGCTTTCATGGCTGGATCCTGGGGAAAAAGGGACAAGGTGGGGGCCCCAGCTCCCAGGATGGCCCACCCCCCCACCCCCCCCCCGCACATCCCAGGCACGCGGGGCAGCGTGGGATCCTTACCTCCAGGATGGTGCACCGCTCCGACTGGCACTCCACGTCCTCGCAGGGCTGGAACATGCCCAGGGTGACGCAGTTCAGGAGGATGACCAGCATGCTGACGTGCTCGAACCAGGTGAGAGGAGGGAGTTAAGGAGAGCACATGCTTCAGCCGCCATGGGGAGGGGGGAAGCTGAGGCACCCTGCTATTTACATGTCAAAAAGCCTTCACTCCTCGCACAAGCAAAGAAGAAAACACTGCCAAAACATCCCAAATTTGCTAAGGTTTGCAATTTTTGGCAACTGAGGAAAGGGCCTTGGAAAAGGTACTCCTGTTGAGATGAAGGGACAGAAGGTGCCTTTCATTTCTTACACGGCAGCAAAGCCAGAGAAGGACAACGAAGCGCACGGCCACGCTCTCCAACTCAAGTCCCCCCGACTCCATCCTCTTCGGTTCTTCCTGCGTGCCCAGGGGCAGCTGAGAGCACAGCCACCTCTGTCTGCCTCCCACAGCAACTTTCACCTCCAGATCTCAAAGGGTTTTAGCAGTGAATCACCCCACATGTCCGCTAGCATTAATTGTTTCAGTACCAAGCTAAAGAAATCAAGACAAAGAAAGATTAATTAATTCAGGCACCACCACCACCAGAAACCCGGCTTGTGCCCAGTTCCTTGCTGGAGCCAGTGAGGTTGCTCTCCTTGTTTCCAACTCAAGTCATGGGAATGGGTGCTGAATTCAGGTTATCTCGTTCCCACCTGGTTTCTAAGTCTCAGGGAGCTATAGAGCCCATTTTGAGCTCTACATCATGATCAAGAATGAAGGCAAAACAAAGCCAAGCTGGTGGCACAAGCTGGGAGGGCCAAGGATGGCGGCATGTTGGGGTATGGGGTGTAAACCAGGACCCAGGGTGCACAGCACAGGCTTCGAAAGGGTTGGAAAGTGCTCAAGGTTGGATGTCTCCAGTCACCAAAAAAACATATTCTTTTACAGGACCCACCAGTGCGCAACTGCACTAACATTAATAGTTTCAAAGTAGTAAGTGGTGATTTGCATCAGTGCAAAATAGGCCCAGAGCTTATGATTACTGCTGCTGGTATGACTATTAAAAATAATAAAAAAAGATTTGGGTGAACTGAACAAGAGTTTCACAAATTAAGCATGAATGAGAGAACTGTTCTTAGGAAAATAATTGGAAACATCTGTATATGAATAAACCTTTATGCTTTCAAACACACAAGCAAGGAATGTGAGCAAGGAATCATGGAGAAAGAAGCACAGAGACATTGTCTTATTTCTGATAACAAAAATTCTCCTGCTTTGGAAACCTGAACAAAAAAAAACAACCATATTTTTCCCTGCTGCTTTTAGAAGTATTTTATCTGGCATTTTATCAGTTCAGCATAAGATTTATCGCAGCATAAGATCAGGCAAGTGCAGGGCTGCAGCCTCAAACTACTTTTGCACACTCTCATGTATCCAGATTAAAAGAAAAAAGAGAAATCAGTGGGGACAGGTCCTGCAGCTTCCCTAAAACCTGAACCCAACCCACTGCTTGTTTTAGAGAGGGCTTTCATTTGAAAATATAGGAACACCTTGGAGCCCATGATGGGGACCAAACACGCCAGACTTGGAAACCCACTTGTCTAAAAGGGAAACGCATGAAATCAAATAACCAAATGAAATAAAAACCCAGGTCACGCCGTCAGTGATGCAGAAAGAGCTGGAGCAGGTGAAGCTCCTGGCCACAGCCCTAGAGGACTTGTGCATTGCTGAAATACCAATGTCGATTTATTTTAATTTCTCTTTGCCTTCAATGACTTCTTTCTGATTTTTGACAACTTTAGGGATGTTTGGATCTCCTTCCCTTTTGCCTAATTAGAAGCAGAGTGGTAATCCTGCTCCATAGAGAAAACAACCCGCATCAGACTCAAACAAAGCCCAACCTGTGGTCACATCTTACTTACAATATTTGCATCGCTTGATGGGATTCATGTGGAACTCTCTGTAAACAGCGCTCCTGCGCTATTCCCAGGGTGCCTGCAGTTGCATTCATTTCATTTATTATACTTGCAAATTTATATTTTTTTTTTTTTCACTTTAAAGTTAAAAAAATAAAAGCATGTGGATTTTGCACTGCTAAAAAATGTATAACTGTGCTGATGAAATAGGTCTCCCGTTTCCCCAGAGAAGAGGAGCGCACTGGCCCTGTACCTGGTTGCTCCAACCTTGCTCCTCCATCCCGCCCCGGGACACCGATCCCAGGGTCGTGCTGGCTCCATCCCCTGCTGCTCCAGCGATGGGGAAACGTACACCCTAGGTTTTTCCCCACCACAAGATGATAAGGGTTTTGAATCCACCATCCACCAAGGGTTGCTGGTTGTGTTACTGTTCTCCATCCTGCCCTCCACTGCCTGAGCCCTTGCTTCTAGCAGAACTAACCAAGAATTAGATTTTGGTTTCCATCAGAAAACGCTGATTTCTCAAAAGTGAATCATCAGTGTGCATCAGTTTTGATGGCAACGTTCAATTAAGACAGACTTTTTTGTATGAAACATGGAAGAGTCTGTTCCCAGCCAGGCAGAAGCAGAGCCAGTTGCTGAAGGGAATCCTCAGGGGTATGGGGAAACCTTGATGGATGTCAGGGTCTCCCATGCCCCGGGCTCTTCTGGCTTCTGGGCCAGTGCCTGTTTGCTGCTGAGATCTCTCTCATCATGATACAAAACCACAAACATTTCATAAAGAATATTTTCTGAGCGGAAAACCTGCCTCCCCTCTGGATCTAGCATCTGCCCCTGATTTTTGATGTCAGTGGAGCAACTGAAGCCCAAGGCTGAGGATGTTTGTGGGGTAAAGCCCCTGTGCTGCTGAGCTACCCCAGACCTTCATTTAGGCACTCTGCTCATTAGATCTCTAAAAAACTTCTTTCTTCTAAATGATCTAATTGTCATTTTTATGGTTAAATAATCACTTGCATGAGAAGAATTGCCATTTAAATGAGTGCCCTGATTCCTTGAAGACAGGCAGAGCCACCACTGTCCTCTGTCCAGCTAACACCAAAGCCAAATTCGGTGTCTTTCAGGGTGCCAGAAGAGTTGTTTTAATTTTCTAACAGAAACAGAAAGGCTCTCCCTTAGCTTTGCGGTCACAGATGTTTAGGGGCTGTCGGCATAGTCAGCAAAGATCAGCCACAGCAGTGAGATGGAAAAAGGCAGTGCTGCCGCATGCAGAAAGAAAAGAGACAAAAGAAAACTCGTGTTGCCTTTGAAGAAAAGGCTGAAAAGGTGAAAGAAAACCCACTGTAGGGAACAGTTTTGCTTTGGCCAGAGAATGGACTGGAGGAGGGAGGAGGAAGCCCTTGCCCAGGGCTGTTTTCTCCCAGGGATGCTCTTATCCTCCCTCATCCCCGAACCCTTCCTGAGGGGATGCAGCTGGAGGGGGCTGAGCTGAAAGGTCCTGTCCCTGCTCAGCCCCTCCAGCCCACCTTCTCCTCCTGTGCCTGCAGCTCCCTCCAAGGCATTAAGCTCCTGCCCTATTTATTTTCACATCAGATTAATGACAGTGAAATCCCTAATTCAAAAGCAGGATCACCCTGAGTGCTCTGCTCTAATGGGACTAATCCTCCCTCTCTCTGCTGCACAGATATTCAAGAGAATTTCAGTTCACTCCCCCCTTCCTTGCTCCTGGCTCTGGGAAAGCCCCAAAAGCTGTAATTTAACCCTTGTCTGGCTCTTTTTCCAGACCCCTCCCAAGCCATCCAGCCTTCAGCAGCCATGTGGAGATATCCCAAAGCAAACCCCCCGGGCAGCCGGAGGTGATGCTGCTTGGCAGGGTGGGATTATAGAGAGCACCTTTTCACAGCATCCTTCCCACAGAGCCTGGGCCAGTTTGAAATGCCCATCAAGAAAGAAAAATGCCATTCTGATATTGGTGGGAAAATACCCAGAAGAGCAAAAGAGAGGGGAAAAAGTGAAAAAAAAAAAAAAAATCTGTGAGCAGCCCAACATCGGTCTTGTGCCAGCACATAGCAAAGATGTGGCTGGAGACAAGTCCCACAGCACATCTCGTGGGTGATCCTGCAGCATCACCACACACCCTGCCTGGCTTTTTTGCAACCAAGAGGTCAAGGTGAGGGACGGTAACACCGAATGCAGCCATGCAGGGCTCCTGCTCACACCCTGCGTGGCACTGGCTCTCCTGCTGCTGGAGCTGGGGTGGGACTGGCTCGGGATCCTCCTAGTCCTCTGGCAGCAGCGGTGGCTGAGACCCGCTAAAACCATGACGGTGCAAAAATGGGTACTTCTGAGTTACCATGGAAACTGCTGCTCTCAAGGCCACCAAAGCACCACCCAGTTTAAAAGCAGCCAACTTCACAACTGGGAGATTTGAAAAGAAAAAGACGCAAAGGGGACATCCAGACTAACTGCTGGAGGCAAAGATAATTGCAAAAGATTTGCTTAATATTTCTTCCTCTGCCACAAATGACAGGGTAACGACATCTCAAGAGTATCTGGATCAAGCTCATATCCCCCAGACACCCTTCAGGCAGGAGCTGGGGAGCAACGGAGCCCTGCCCACCCGGGGGGGCTGCTCCGGCCGCACAGCACCGTGCTGTGGGATCGACGGTCTCTTACACTAAAATCTAGCTCTGAGTTTAGAAGTGGCAATACAGAAACCAGGCTCTGCCCCCAAAAGTTGTTGGCCCCACTTGCTGTTAGCGCAATGGCTGATGCGGATGCTCTCCAGCAGCTTTTCACAGGGTTTTACTGGAATTACCTTCAGGGAAAGCCCAGTAGCTTGAGGATGAAGAGCTCTAGTTGCCAGAAGATGCCTCAGCATGGACAAGACCTGATTTTCCCACCAATCTCTGCTGTGACAGTATAGCTGGTAAGGCCTTGACTTGATTTAAAAAGAGAGGTGGGAATTCAAGGGTGTGTTGAAGCAGTTGTTCAAGAGAAGCTTGAGTGTTTCCAGCAGTAAAACTGAATGGCAAGAGCCCAATGCAGAGAGTTGAGGCTGGGTGGTCACTTGGCAGCTCCACATCACCTAGCCACGGGTATCAGTGCCAGAGGATGTGTTTGAGGAGTAGGCAATCCAAAATAAAGCTGTGTAGGAGCTGTGCACGTATCCTGCCCAGA